GGTATTGATCTTCTGGTTGAGGAGAAACGAGAACGCTGTAGGAGAAACTTTACTCCTCTGGTGCTTGCACGAAGAGGGTACGACGGGTAAAGTGTCTGAAAGAGGGAAAGTCGCTGCGCCGAAAGAGACACGGAGCCTGTAGTTCGATTCTCGCTCTTTTTTTTAAAGACGATAGGCTTTTTTGGGGACCTTCGACGGAAAAATTTTGGCCTGTCTGTCAGTACTATTGTCTGTTTGTCCGCCCTAACAATACCTCAAACGGCACTAAATGGCCGACCCCATCCGTAGCACCCACCAATATTGCTCAAGGTTTAGCGTACATTGTTGTGCAATTGTCAAATAAAAAAGCAAGTATTCCGCGTATCTGAGGTGCCTTAACAACATGTTTATGTTTTGTATGTCGGCCTTTATAATAGAAAAGGCACACACAAGTAACTCTAAGGACTGTAGCGTTTAACGCGGTGCGCTCACAGTGCAACACGACGCTCAAGAAGGTGTTTCCAACGCTTTACCGCGACGGCACGGTGGTGGCACCTGCCCGTCGCTGTGCATTCTACACCTTTTCACATCCGTGACTAGCGCGGATCTTTCTCTGTGGTTGCCTTCGTTTTCGAAGATAACTGCCAGTTGGCGCTCGTGCCTAACGTGCCTAGATGCGCTTGTTCGCCTCCGTTACACGCTCGAAGCACTATAGCGCAGCGCCTTCAGAAAATCATTCACCAATTTTCTCGCGCAGAACATCAAATAAACATTTTGTTCACTCTCTCCAGACGCAAGACTATCGTCTTTCGACGACATTTACAGAGTAACATGTATATTCAGCCCAAGTTTTTTTTAGAGTGCACGTTAACCTCATTCTATTTTTTTTTTCTGCGGTCCGGTATTCGCTTGTTTTATAGGCATTTTTGACCTCCTTTAAGCCTGCTTTTGTGTTATGTCCACTTCGTTAGACCAGTGGGAACTTTATTTAACACAGGGGTCACAGCCACTGGAGATTTTTGTTTTGTCTTGTTTAAGTTCTGCTTTCTTCTGTTTTGTCTAGGTGCCGTCCCGCAGTTTACTGACCATTGTTCTTCTTCCACATTGTGCGGGAGACACGCGAACCCATGTATCTCGTCAAAGCAATTGGCATGTTTACACATTATGTGAGCCGTTGTTGGTTCCGGGCTTCGAACTACATCTTGACATCATCGAATCGCCAGTGTGCCATAGGAAGTTTGTATATGAAAATGAAATATTCTCACCTATTTTATGAGAAAGGGCCAACCTCGGAGGGTGGAACCTGGTGCAACGTTTGCTGTGGCCACCACCCGCTATTCCTATGAAGAGAGCAGCCACATTTTCAAACCCGGCCACAAGACCAACATGAGACCACGTGGTTTCACTCTGAATGCACCTCTTCCGCGGGTTGCTTGATGGCCGTGCGACATTGTAGGCTATCTTTCTATACTATACTATACTATACAATCACACACACACACACACACACACACACACACTTGAATAGCATACACAGGTATTGGGCATGTCGACACCACAAGGAGGACATTGTTTTTTGTGAAATAACTGTGAAACTATTTTTTCCCGTGGATCGAGAAGACCAATGTGTTACTTGACATATATGGTGTTTCCATTCCACACAGACAACGCTAGCTGTTTAGGGATGTCTGATGTCGATAGCGTTGGGGTAGCTGATACGTCTCTGAGGGGTTTGCAACAGTCGGTCGAGTTGGCAAACAGAGGTTTTACAGCACAACTCGTAGATCGGTACTTTGCGACACTCGACGTATGACGAATTATCCACTACTGACGTCGCCCTTGCGTGTTCAGGTACTGTCCATGAAGCAGTCTCAAAAAAGTAGACCAGCGAGAACCTGAATGACGAAGTCGAAAGGGTTACTTCGGATGTTCACTGTGGTGCTACCAGGCCTAATCAAGCGATGAATATAGCTCAAGCTACCGTTGTGTTACAGTTGCCCGCATTCACGTAGTACATCAATTTCTAAAGAAATGTTGGAGAAGCCGGGTTCATTTTGCTCAAGCACGCGCATCGAAAAGGTGGTTGGGATCTTTTGAAGATGCCTCCCTGCACGTGTGAACGTATCGTGAGAAAAGAAAGAAAGCAACAGGCCACGTTGGCTATACGAAGAGAGGGCAAAATATAGTGATGACTACTCCGATGACAATGTTGGGAATGTCAATTTTTGAGAACCACGCGTAAGAACGTCGACTGCCGAGGGAGCTCGACAACGACACGATGCGTCAGCAACGACAAGTTTACTGCCCCGACATACAGCGGACAAAAAACTGTGAGAATCCGCTTTGCCCTTCTCGGCCAAGACCAGCACAGCGAATTAGCAGTGTGTTTAAGTGCGAAGTTGCCTAGAGACTATCATTTGTTTGAGCATGTCAGATATTTTGCTTTGATAAGTATTGGGGCAAATAAAGAAAACGAGTAATACTAAAACAGCAAACAACCTCTAAAAAAGAAGAAAAAGAACAAAAGAAAAAATAAAAAGAGAAAAACAAAAACTAATTGAAAATTGAAAACTTACTGAAGACAAAAAGATCAGGAAAAGTATACATACACGGAAAAATACCCCTCCAAAATAAACAGCGAAAAGAGAATAAGAGAAGATTCGGAATAATTTGATTATACAAATGCACATGTATGCATACACAATGTATGTATTTTATGCATATGTTGACACATATATGAGAACGTATAGAGGTATTGATGTGTTTGAGTATTGAAGTTTATTTATTCGTATGCAGTTATCGAGAAAATCTTTGGGGTTGGTTTGGGAGACGACAAAATAGGAATAAAATATGTCTAAAAAAAAGCAACAAGAGTGAACTGAAGAAATCATGAGGCCCAAACCAGTTGATACTAGCACAGATGGTGATACACAAGAAAGTGGAGTAAACGACATCGGAGGAAAACAGAAGTACAATAGAGGATTCAGCATCGAAGATGAAACATTGAAATCAAGATAAAGAAGCCAAATTGAGCGAAAAAAACTGCATTTGTAAGTGAAGACTTTCTAAGCCATGACCAATTCCGAATATCTATTCGTGTATTGTTTTATACGGCTTTGTACATTATGTCGCTGAGTTCCTCGCTTGTTTCCTTGGAGATGGTTGGCAACGGTGGTGGTGCTGTCCAGTGTACTTTGTTTTTTCTCTCTCTCTCTCTTTTATTCTTGAAAACTACTATTTGACGCTTGTACTCACTTTTTTTGCAATTTGGTTGTCAGTAATAGTTTGGTGAAGCAGGCAAGGTATCGTTTCTTGTTTCATCTGTATTATTTATTATTAAATTTTACCCATAAAAACTGGTCAGTCAGTCGGTTACAGGCTCACAAAAAAGTAAGCTTCACCCAGAGTCCCATGGGGACGCAATCGTATAGGTGTCATACTCAAATGAAGCCGTTTGTTTAGATGAAATCTCCCAGATTTTGAGAATTTGAGATCGGTGGTTTTACCATAGAAACGCAGGTTCGTGCGGCTGGTTTTCAGTCGAGAACTCAAACTTTCTACCAAACTGTAGCAACTATTTCTACATCGTTGGCCAGTTCAAAACAATATTATAACTATATTCTTCAGCACTAACTTCAGCACTATAACTAGATAGTGCTGAAGTTTGTCAGCACTATCTTTGCTTTGCCGTCACGCAGTTAGGCTGTGCCTCTTGCGGTGCAAATCTGATGGTAGCGAAAAAGAACCCATGTTTGAAACAGAAACTACCTTGCACATTTCAAAGGGTGTTGCGCATAGAGCGATTGGGAAAAGACGACAAAACATAGGCCAACAGCACTGTCTTCCGACTAGCTTTTTCATTTCGATAAGACGTGTTTTTAAGCGATGAAAGAACGAGGGTGCGAGGCCAGAAAAAAATAGAATATAAAAAAACAAGAAAAGATTCAAATTATCTCACTTCAAGCATATCACCACATGCTAATTCATATCATAACTAATTCACTAATTCACATCATAACGCGCAACACTTTCCTAGTCTTTCTAAGCGCTGTTAACACTTTCTTAACTGTATTGTCGCCTACTTGCCCATGTGTCAACACTTTCTTTTCGCCCTACTCCTTTGTACAGATGAATGGCAGGCGTGCTGTAGTTCTTTGGTACGTTTTTTGTATTTATTCTTAGGCTGTGGGCATTGATGTATTTGTGTAGTTTAGGTACTTATGTTTTTTCCGCATATACGTTTGTGTGTAGTCTAGTTGTGTCTGCTGATTTGATCTAGAAAGAGCCTCTGATTCCACTTCATGAGCCTTTTCCCCAATCTGCATCATAGCGACGCTACTTTGTTGCCCCCTCTTGGAGCGTTGAGGCAATTCTTCACACATAGTTGGTCTCTTCTGGACTTTTCTTGAGCCATGCATGGGCCCCAAGGACATCGGCGAGGTCCAAATCACCTACCACAATAACCCTTGCAATAGAGTTTTGCACGTCGAACAAAACCATCGTCGCATACCATACTCCCGGAACGATAATATACGTTGCGACGTGACCTTAACATTCGCCCACAGAAAGTATGTGAATTCCATTGCAGATATGCGCCACGCCTCCCACAAATCATATTATCTCACAACGCACCACTACGCCTTCCTGTCCCGCTGCTAAGTACTCCTAAAACTCACAACTACGCACAATTTTTTTCCCATGACTCCTCCCTCTCACGTCACTTACTTCATGCCTTGTCACTTTATCTCAATTCTTTCAACCAACTTCATTCTACTTCCTCTAGTTCGACTGCACTTCACCAGCCTCACTGTTCTAAAAGCGTCAGACAACAAGCGCCATGGCTTTATATTTTATGCCGTGTTTTCAATCAAATAAACTCATTCTCGCTTTCGTAAAAAAGCTGCCAAAACATCGCATGTGAATTCTTTATATTAAAAATAAATCGATTCCATAAACCTTTTTTAATCGATTTGAACCAGCTGTTGAGTTCAGTGTCTAATTATTATGCTTTCTTTCCACAGGATACCATAAGAAGACAACGGAGGTTTTGCACTACAAGAACGAAAACGACACATGCGCTGTCTTTTGGGTGCTATCATCTACGGGTTGTGAGTATGCAGCTCAGTGACGACTTAATATCTGTAAAGTCCGGCCTACGTAAAACAAAAAAAGGACTGTCTCTAACTCTTTCTCATCAGTGGTAGTTTTGCAAATATGAGAGGCCGCCTAAAATACGCGTTAGTTCTTTTTCGGGCAGTCGCCTCCTGTGGCACTTCAAAAAAAAAGTGTGCTGTTCTTTCGGGAGAGTCAGCGAAGGCTTTCAAATGTGATTTTTCCCTGCTAAGATAGGGCTTGCCATACAGAAAGGTATACTTTTAAATGCAAAACATCTTTTAGCCATGCAATAACACTTCGAGTTTTTCTATCTATCTATTTAGATATCTATCCACCCACGTCACGCACTGACTGTCATGATCAATTCCCTAACTTGGTGTAGACCAAAATTCATATGAAAGGGTTGAATTGTTTCGCAAGTATGAAGGGATTGCTATGACAAACATAACCGGAAATTTTGCTGCGTACTTTGTCATACAGTTGTTTCAAACACGAATAGTAGATATCCATATATCACGGCTTTCTGTAAGCTGACTGGGACAGCAGGTTATCGACATTTAAAACGTGGGGATATATACTATTATATAATTTTTCGTTCCCACAGCAGTGCCTACAGGCCTACAGCATTTTCACCTCTATTGAAAACGAAGCCGCCAGAGCCTGGATTTGATCCCGCGACCTGCCGGGCAGCAGCCGAATACTTTAGCCACTAGGCCACCGTGGCGGCGCTTGTGCTACAGGAAGGTTTAAGGTTAAGGGGCAACTCCGGCGTTTTTTGGATGTTCACTCATTTCTATAAAACTTTGAACATGTGTTCTCGTTGGTACCGTGGCGATATGTGCCGTATCAGGCTATCATACGTCAGTTAGTTTTTAGAAAACAAATTCTAAAGCTAATAGCTGTTTCTGAAATCACACTTGATAACGCGGGCCACCCTGTGTGTATGACGTCAGGGCCTACTGTTATTTTTTTTTCAAAAGCTTCGCCTTTCCCAGCAGGCGTATGCAGCGCACGCTTTCTTTTATGGGGCGACGAAAACGTGAGCACAGTTCAGTATTGTGAGCTGCATACAGTGTACTTGTAGCCGTTGAACGTTGGGTCTTAAATATTGAGCAACGAGGATCTCGATTCGGGGAATGTCAGATGCTTCCCGCGCCGGAGGGTTGAAATCCAAAAGCGATGCTTTTATGCTGAGATAGTATCTGCAATCATCGCCAAATTTGTCACTGGTAAGTTCAGACGAGTGACACAGCTTGATTCCGCGTCGGATGAAATCACCAACTTGTTTTTAGCATGTCAGTAAAGGCACATGAACTATGTTTACACCCTGGCCAACCATGGCGGGGTGTAGTAGATCTCGTGATGTCATCCGATGCCCACCATGGACAACGTGCAAACTCTCTGTTTTGGTTTCTGTTTGGACTCGACGTTCATCTCCTAATTAAAATTATTGGCGAGTGCCTGGGCAAAGTAAACCTTCCTAGCTTTTTCAGGACTGTTCATACTATTAGAAAACAGCATTATCTCAGTATAATTGAAAATGCACCGGGAATTCCTTTAGGTCACTCAGTGGGCCCTTGAGTATTTTGGTGGTGTAGCGTTCTGCAGTGAGTGTCCCGTCGGAAAGAACCGGACCAATAAGTTTGCCGCGGCAAATGTCCCACCATACACAGAAATACCACTGCGCCTGGTGTTGTGACTGCAACAGCCAGTGAAGATTTGTAGCGCTCCAGTAATCGCCATTGCGAACATTCACTTCGGAATCATGCGAGAAATGGGCTTCATCAAAGCATATTATGTCCTTAAAGAAGCTCGGATTATCTTCTTGTATGAGTATCCAGTTTCTGGAGTCAATATGGCTTTGAAACTCTGTCTTCCAGCTGTTGTTGAACGTAAGCATGGTATGGGTGAAGTCCTCCTCTCCTAAGTACGCGCCAAACACTACTGCTGGAAACGCTGGTCTCAGCACTCACGTTACGCAAGCTTGCGTGGGGATGGGCTGCAATGTAAGCAAAAATGTCTGTTTTAAGAAACTATTTCACACCTTTTTGCGCGAATTCTAGTTTTTGAACGTGCCTGCCTCCTTCAGCATTTCGTAATTTCGCACCAGTGCCGAACAATTTACCCAAACTCAGGTGCATGAGCTGCGAAACAGTCTTGCCACCTCTCTTCTATTTCCGTTCACTCGGCCGAGGGCGAGAAATGTATTCGAACATTCTTCATTAGTTCAATGCATCATTCCAGACTTAGACTCTCTTGTCGAAGCTTGTCGAAAAAAAAGTGCGCACCATATTACCACCGTGCTTTTTATATATTTATTTCATCACAATGACATCATCTTTCCCACCGTCGTGCTTAACGCTGGCCCGAGATAGAAAAAAAAAACCTGCACTGCGTTGCCTCTGTTCAAGTAACACATTGCCCACGGCGGCCGCTTTTTTGTCGAAGTTAACTGTCTTGGTTTCATTCTTTGTTTCTTTCTTTTTACTAGCGGGACCATCTAGCCATCGCTTAACGTCCATTGTAGTCACTGATAGCCTGTTCAAGTGACCTTCATGCGCGCGATGTCTTTGCTAATCCATTTAACTTACATTTCAGAGTACTGAAAGCGTTAAGCGGCCATCACGTAGTAATTTTTTTTCGTGGGCTTTATACAAAAACTGGCAAAAGTTAACCAGCGTCGTTATCTTACCGTAAATTGAATTTTTTATACCTCTGGATAGGGGCTACGATTTTTTGTTGAAATTTTTTTTACAGTCAGTATTTAAAAACTTTATTATTCGACCTTTCTTAACTACCGTGCTTTCCGTACTGAAAAAAATGTGTATGTTCTGATGAGCTACATATAGCTAAAAACAATACCGCGTTAGTCGCAAACGCCCTGCGCTCATTTTAAATGTTTTATTGCTTGGTGCTTTTTAGCTCAAACACTCTCTATATATAGAACCCTCCAAATGCATATACTCTAGACACAAGCTATCTGCGATATGCTAGACACAAGCTGTGTGCGATGTTTTATTACTTGGTGCTTTTTAGCTCAAAAACTCTCTATGCTTGGTGCTTTTTAGCTCAAACACTCTCCATGCTTGGTGCTTTTTAGCTCAAACACTCTATTCACAAGATGAGTTATGGTACGCATACTTTTTTCAGAAACGACATTGCTTTGACTCTGAAATACTGCTTCTGACGAAAATGAGTTAACATACATTGCAACATGCTGGGTTATTTCGCAGCATGCAGCTACTGGTTTTAGAAGTAAGATGGTAGTTTTACAAGAAACACAATCATCCGCGAATAATCAATTACATATGTCATTATGTGACAGATCAACAAAATCATCAACCAAAATTAAATATAATGGTCCCTTTTGGTAAAGCTCAACGTAAAGCAAGGTTGCCGCCCGTCATTTGGTAGATCATGACATTTGAGTCAATTTTTCAAAAGGGCAGTAAGAAAGTCAGTAGTTTATTGCTGCGTACCAGAAAAAAAATAATAAAGCCATCAGGCACTGTTAATTTCCCAGGATTATATTGTCGGGATCGAGCCACGAGGTTTATAACACTGTGCTTCGAAATGCACTCTCTAGAAATATCTGCATAAGTGACCAGCAATTAGTGTGGGAGCAATCATCATGACCTCCTCAAATTGTATCTTTGAAATTTTCTATTTACTTTGTTTAAGATAGTGCAACGTTCTCAGGATATGACTTGATGAACTCAAGTACTGTTTCAAGAAAGATTTCGAACCTTGCGTTACTAACACTTTGTAACAGTTTTCTTTGAGTTAGGAAAATGGCCTTGTACTAGTCTCTATATTTCGTAAACTTTTTATTTTTTCTTCATATGTTTATTCTTACGGCAAATCCATGACTTTTATGAGCGCTTTTGTTTTCTACTAAGCGCACTGAGGACCCCGACGACTTTGGTGCAGCGATCTGCTGTCTAAATCTCTGGTAGGTGGCTGATTGCCATGAGGACGTTCCGTGTATGTGTCTCTCTTGTACACCTATGCAGTTTTAAACAGAGGCTTTACTTTCCTAAAGACACATAAAGTGTACCATGTATAGATGAGTTCCCAAGCTGAATTTGTGCCGCCCATTTTCATTACGTGTCTCTCGCTGAAGCATGGATACGTGTGTCGTCTTTGTCATAGTATAAGTGCATGCTAGCACTTTTTCTGACGATGGCGTTGCATCAATGAATGAGGTACAACATATTCAGGTGTTACATCTGTTATTGTCACAATTTCTGCGCTCAAATAGTTTTCAATACGGAAAACTATTAGCATTAAACGCGCACCTCCTTTGTTGAATGCTACCTTCTGAACCTCCTAATTAAAGAAGTTTCGTATTTTCATTCGGTCATGATATGCGTTTAGGCTGGCCTATGGACCGAATACCACACAAGTGAAGATACCCGTTTAGGCAAGGGCATGGGTGTGTCAGACGGTACGAGGTTCCTAGAAAATTTATCTCTATTAACGTCGAAAGTGCGCTTCCTAGAACGCAAATGTGATGCTGAAGTAACGTGCGCGGAATCTAATTTAGTCAAAGCAGCTTGTTGTGGAACTCATCAGGAATTTCAATGAGCCAAGTCTTCTTTTGTTCACGGTTTTAAAATATCGTATCAATATTGTTGTTTACCTCTCTTTTCAGCTTTTTTTAGTTTCCCGAAGTGTACATTAGCTGGCCAATTGTTTCAAACAACTGAAAATTTCAGCTTTTTCTAATTTGTATCATTTTCACTCTCTTTAAATGGTTTTCAGATACGCTGAAACCATATTATGACCTTCGAATGAAAGATTCGTATGTGAAAGCAAAATTTTCTCCTCGAAGTGATTGTTGGAAAGAATTCAAAAATGTTACAGAACGCCGAAAAACAAAGCAAATATATTATAAAAGCTGCCAATATGCTGTAAACAAGAAATTGCGGGAACCTACTTCCACTAAACTCTTTTAATAAAGAAAATCCACCTTGCTATCTCTATTGTGAGTCTCACATTCTTTCTACCTTCAACGAAATCAGTAGTCATTGTCAAATGTATCGCAGGGAATTCTGGTGGCAACATATGAATCCTACCTGACTCTCAGCATCACTCAGAGGAACACGCATTCTTACTATTCGTTTTCAGTAGCTATAGGGAGGGCTCACCCCTCTCCCGATTGTGGTGGTATGAGCGATTTTGAGCCCGTGCCTTTGGAGAACACTTCTGTACAGCACCGCTTAGACCACGAATTGATGGCAAAAGTTTTAAAAATTGCTCAAGAGCCATGGGTGAATTGATACAACGTGCTCTCCAGCAGACCGAAGATGCGGCCATGAGGCTTGTCCTTGACGTCGCAACGTAGAAGTGGCTCACAGCGTTTCTAGTATAAAAACAGGGTGAAGATTCTCTGAACCTCAGTAAAGTTTACTCCTTATAGTCACAGGCTTATAATGTGAGTATTTCGGTTCATTTTATTATATTACATAGGTTTCAAAAGCAACGGGACAAAAATATCTAGTGAAGGAATATATATAATACTGGGAAAAATTCAGGCCCTCCTTTACGGAAAAGTTGAAGTAAGAGCGTCGCCGAGCACTCCGTGATTCTAAATGAAACAATTCCTGTAAAATGGAGTCCCCTCAACTGATTGTTACGTTAATGCAGCTCACACACAACAGTCCGTCTCTGTGTTCATATGACAGGCTTTATTCAGCGACCAAAACACAAAGATTTCCTTCAAGCAAAGAAAACTTGCGTACTTCGTAAGTTAGTTTATATAACACAAAAACAGCTTACAAGGTTCCGCAAAGAGGTCTGCTCGTATTCTGCCATTACGACAACACACATTTCTCTTATTGCGAAACAGTGGTTTTATACCACACCTCTATCATACAGTCTTTTTAAGAAATCGGAAATTGGAAGATTTTATTTATGTTGCCGATGCTTGCGTATGCTGTGCAGTTATTTGAGAGCTTTTTTCAACGTGAGTTTTGTTGGTCGGACACCATATAAAACTTGTTTTGTGCTTAACTCTTACATTTGCAAATGAACACAGGCTTTAGAGAATAATTATAACACACTAGACGATATGTTTTACACAGGTAGAATCATTTTGTAGAATGAATACAGTTGTCACGACTAGCTCACTAGAGAACGTGTTGGTCATGTACCCAGAAAAAAATTGAACAAGAGGTTCGCTCAACAAAACTCTACAATAGAAAAAAAGCACGAGAAATAAGTATGCAACAAGCCCAGGCACAAAGAGTGCATGACATCTTTTAAACTTAAGCCTGGCACTGAAATGACGAGGACAAGACAGGGATAACACACACGAACGTTTCCCTTTTTTTTATTTCAGTGCCACACTTACCTCAATTTATGAACATTTAGTACCAACAAAACTAACACTCTACTCTTGCGAAGTTCGTGCGATCCTCTTTTTTATTTTGGAAACAGATTCGTTTTTTGTTGAACCAAGCTATATATCTAAAAAGGTTTTAAATACGGGAAATATGAATTATAAAGGTTTACTCCGACTGAACACAATTACCAAGGTCAATAGAAATCTTCTCGCCAAGCAATTGGCAGCCTCAACATATGCTGGCAACAAAGGAGTGGAGCTTGAGCAGTTAACAAGGAACATACGTCCTAGTGGACGTTCGATAGGCGGCTGCAGTCGTTTAGGGAAGTCAATGCTTCGTGATGAATGATCCAGAATTTGAAGTACCCCCCCCCCCCTTTTTGCCTCCGGGCTAGTGTCGTCGCAGTTTATGCCAAAGCTACACCCTGTTGTCCAGCAGTGAAACATATGAATCCTCTCTGTCTCTGTCTTGGAACATACTAATTGGAGGCTATTGCAGCATTCCTCTTTTGTGGATCTCAAAACTGTTTGAACTATTTTTGCCTGTCTCTGATCATCTACAGGACTGTGGTTTTTGTTGTACTTCATGAAAAATGTCTCAAGGTACATAAAAAACACAGTGCAGTCATCTGCAAAGAATAAGGGAAGTGTTGCGGTGTCAATTACATTGAATAAGCAAACACAAACTGTTTAATGAATCCTATAAAAAATTCGAAGCATGCGCTTTAGCCACCCCTGCAACGTGCTCTAGCAAGCAGCTTGTTGAGCGCTGTTGTGTAACTGGGCATAGCTCCGCCTAAACAATCTGGCTACGCTGCGTCGTGTACAAAGGTGGCAAAAAAACTTAAGGAATCGTGCTCAATTCAATGCGATGCATCAGCTAGCAACTACTCCGGCCCATTTTCCGGTGTTCACAGCAGATATTTATTTATTTATTCATTTATTTATAGTTAGTTTATTTGTGTGTGCAACAGTACAAGATTGTCATGGCGCTTGGGGTGTTTGTGACTAGCGGACTGGTAGACTTCTGTTGACTTCTGGTCAGTTTGAACTGAGAGTGCCACCTGCAAGGTGAGCAAGACTATCAGTTCGTTTTGTAAAAAATTGTGCGAAGCCACAGTAACGAATTTGCATTCAAGCTCCAAATCTTGAGTCAATAGGGGTGTAGTGTGTCCTGTGCATATGCACTGTCTTTGGGAGCTTCCACAAGTGTGAGATTTTTTAACAGTTGAAGACGATGACAAAGTGTTCGCGTATCCCAGTGCTTCTCTCTGTGCTCTTCGACTCTTTCGGTGAAAGCTTCAGTTTGTTCGGGTGCCTTGGCTCCACGTCTTGCGCTCCTGGACGAAAAGCCATGCGGAGGACCACCTGGCCAGCAGTCATTTCGGCCGACCATCGCGAGGAAGAAAGGAACATCACTCAGTGACAGCGTGGACACAGAGCTGTTCTCAGCCACCTCGAAAGACGACTCATCTGAAGATGATTTCATTCCTGTCCAGAGCAAGAAGGCGAAAAGAAAGATTCTCAACACAGCCTTGCCCACTTCTGCAAAAACAGCGACTATGAAGTCAACGCGTGAACGCTGGCAACACGTCATCGTCTTTGTGTCTGAAGAGTTGTCAAGAAACCTACCACTGGTGAACAGGCAAGCACTGTCCGTTTTTGGAACGTGTGGGGCTTAATTAAATCAATTGATACAATTGCTATGTGGAGTTTAACGTCTCGAAATAACCATTAGATTATGAGGGATGCCGTAGTGAAGGGCTCCGGAAATGTCGACCACCTGGGCTTCTTTAACGTGCACCCAAATCTGAGCACTCGGGCCGACAACATTTCCGCCTCCGTCGGAAATACAGCCGCCGCAGCCGGGATTCGATCCCGCGACCTGTGGGTCAGCAGCCGAGTACCTTAGCCACTAGACAACCATTGTGGAGTGCATGCTTAGTCTATACGAACAAACACTGGATACTAAACTTTAGTGCATGTATGATGGCTCACAGTTAAATCGACATGTCTGGTGTAAATGAATTGGTAGTTTAGGCTAGCATGCCCACCTACTTTCTTTCGCATTCTGAAATCCGGCAATGGTGTAAGCATTTGGCAATAGCGCTCCATAAAGGTTGTCAAGACCAATGTGAGCTGAAATAGAGCGCTGCAATGACTACCTAAATTGCGAATGAAAGCTATCGTAAACGTGAAGTACACTTCTAATAAGGATTTCGGCAGCTATTTCGTGCAATGTATTCTAATTGCAGTTTACAATCCCCCGTATTCGCAAACACGCCTGGACTCGAATCTTTCCTCGTACCACTCTTTCAGGGCAGCTTCCCAATTCAAAAATCACCCACAACTCGAAAAACACTCTGAGAGAAATTTCGACAGTTTTCCTTCGAATAGTCAAGGTACCGCGAGGGCTACTGTCACAGGTCCCGTTAATCAGAGAGCTGATCGCCGGGCTAATTCCAAGGAGCGTAATATCGGCCCCGGAACTGCACCACGAAAGCGTGGACAATTTAAAGTGGTCCTATTTGGCGCGCCAGCGGACGCCGGCTGTGGCCCAAAGAACAAGTCAGAGCCGAGAGTTTGTAAACAAAACAAAATTATATTCCCAGTTATGGCAGATCAAAACGATACACAAATATGCACACTTGACAATAGTTGAATATGATATGTCACCAATCAAGCAACGTACTACGCAGTACAATCAGCCACACTCAAAACAACGGACACAGACAACAATACGCTATACAATGCAATCGCTTGCATCGAACAACCAAGACACCTAAAGAGTAAAGAGATCGAAAACTTATTCAGTCCAAAGTCCTTCGAACAAAAGTCTGAATGATAGTCTTCCGAGAACCACTCACTCAATGTCCAGCGCTGTTGTCGTTTCGCTGCCCCCGAAGTTTCTCTTCCAGGAAACCTCGCGTCCTCAATTGGCGGCTCTCCAAGCACCAACTTCGCTGGTAACACCTGGCGGTAGTCTCACACTCTTCTGCTTGTAGCACGAGTCTTCACCCCTCAGGTGTAAATCGTCTTCATAACCTGTTTTCGTCACTAAGGACAAAACCTTCGCCGATACGATACGGCGGAATGACCCTACGCACACTTGCGCAAAACTTTCATCTTCTGCCTGCTTTGTCACTAAGGGCAAAACCTTCGCCGATAGACACGGGGGAAACACCCTACGCACACTGGCGTGAAATTCCTTCTTCTCTTGATCTCCCTTCTCCACTGCTCGCTTAAATACCTTTCGCGCTAGATTCCAGAAAATTCTCATCGTTTCGTCGGCGCGATGCACAGTCAGGGCTGGGGAAAGCGCGAGACGTTTCGAGGGCCGTCCGTGACTCGTGACGCAACTCTGCATCACCACGCTCCTTTCCCTGGAGAACCTTCCAGGGCCTGCTCGGCCGCCAGTGTGAAAAGGATGGTCGGCGAGATTACGCTTCCGAGAGGAGAGGGACAGAGCGCCCGGAGAGCTTTTGGATGTTTTTTTTTTCTTCTTTATCATTGACCTTGAGGAGCCAATCGGCTCTTGGTAACGGTTCTGTTGCTAGAGTTCGACGGCGTGCGCTGTTTGGGAGCGCTCGTTTGTGACAGCTACTTTGGATCAGTCCTTGCTTAAA